GGAAGATGAGAACTGGCGACTTTGTAGTACAACTTTAGTACGCGGAGCAATCTGTGGAGCTGGAAGCTGAGAACGGGTGACTTTGCAGTACAACTTTAGTACGCGGATGAGTCATCTCTCGCGGCTGAGTCATCTCTCGCAGCTGCTCTGGCGCCCCTGCAGCTGAGTCATGTCTCCCGACCACCCGGCTCTCTTAAAAGGTTGACACACACACAGAGACCCACGCACTGCCTCAACTTACTCGGAGACACACACACAGACAGAGACTCATACACACACAGACATAGATACACACACACAGAGACCCACACACTGCCTCAACTCACTCGACTTAACACTTCACACTGAACACTTAACAGATAACTCACACTCTGACTTCCTACGTGATGAAAAATGCTTTCGGGCCACTCGTCGTCTAGTTTTGAGCCCGACGTTTTCAAAACAACTCCTTCTTTTCATCAATCCTTTTTTTCAGTGCGTCCAAGACTGACCGCCAGTGGAATGCCAACATCATGCCATTCTTTTCTGCCAAGGACGGCTGCTGAGCCTTTGTCTCTGTTCTTCCGTCCGCTAGGCACTGGGGGAGGAGCACGGAAGCTTTGTATGAGGCACTAAGAGCCCCAGTAAATTTGACCCCTGTCTTGATAGGAGTTAGGGAGCCTCTATTTTGGCAGGTGGGTGGGTCCAAAAAAAAACTCTGCTCGATCGCATCACTTGTTTCCAACCCCACCGATCACCAATCCGTGCCCTTTTTGGAGGGAGGCTCTGGCGGTATTCTTGACGCCGCCCAAATCGGAAGCGGCCGTGTGCTCAGCCGGCGCAGGAGACGCAGGCTTTCTCTGTTCGAGGTCGAACGGGATCCCGAAAAGTATGTTAAGAAAGGCTGCCTGCAGAGACGACATTTTTTTACATGTACCTGGATCTTCTAACTATGCCAAATTTCTGCCTTTTGGCTGCTTTTATTAGATGAAAAGGCAGAAGTTTGTCTCAGTTGGAAGATCCAGGTGAATCAATCTTTTGATGTGACACATTTATATAATCTGCCCCCCTCCATTGTTTCCTTGCATTCACTGCCGACGTTCCAGCAGCATTGCACGTTGAAAGTTTTTCAAGGATCAACAAACATGCTGGAGATGGCACCCACCTGGAAATCTGCTCATCAGAACGAACTGGATGTTTCCCCAATCTCAGCCACTTTGTCAAGATCTCACCACCGATGTCCGGGAACCTGTCGGGGGGGTCCTTGCGGCGTCATCCTGCCAGGACTCCAACTCTTTCAAACGCTCCTGTGGGGCTCTGGCCCCTCCTGGACGCAGGCGACCGCGTCGCGACCGCGGTTGGACGACACGGGTCGCTCTTTGGAGAGAAACGACGTGCTTCCGGCAGAGTTTTTTGTTGGTGTCTCGTGACAGATTTGGGTGAACTACGGAGCTTCCAAGCCCATTCTTTGGGGTTTCCTACTCATCCGAGCTGCGAAAAAGGGGTCCCTTTTTCGTTTTGGCTCTTGGAGCTCCGCATGGCCCGCGCACGGAACCGGGCACGCTGCGCAGGTGGCACGTGCAGGCTGGGGAACCTTTGCGCTCTTGTGGCTGGGACGATCACAGCTGGTACACTCTGACGAATACCTCACCTGGAAGTGGAACATGGCCACTGGAAGACCATTTTCCTTTGCAAGCAGGTGGTCACCCAAATGCTTTTGATGGCTGCATGGCTCCTAGAATTCCATCATCACGAGACCAGAAGTCCTCTCCGCGGCAGCGCTCAGACGCTTGGAGACACCCGTTTCCAGGCCACACCACCAGGCCACATCGCCCTCCCAAGTGACGGTGAGTGGTCCCCCGGTGTAGATCGAAGGCGAAACGGACTCACAACTCCTCGCATGAACATCCCCAAAAAGGTTACCCAAACCGACACCAGAGGCCAGTCAGAGCTGGTTTGGAGGCTCTCCGCCATTCCTTCCTTCCTCCCTCCAACCTCCGGAGGCTCTGGACCGGTCCTGGACCGGCGGGCTCGGACCCGCTCGGTTGGGCGGTCCGAGCGGGAGCGGTTTGAGGTCCGCCCTGTCGAAGGACTTCCAGGAGCTGCTGACCCGCGCCGGTTCGGGTGAGAACACCTCCGTAGAGCACTGGATGGACGAGGAGGGAGGGCACGGCGATGGACTGGGTTGGAGGGGTTGGTTGGAAACAAGCGATCGAAGAGCTAACTTGAGTGATCCCTTTTTGGAACCCACCCACCTCCCAAAATAGAGGTCCCCTAACTCCTATCAAGACAAGGGTCATATCATGTCATATCTGGGCTCTAGGCCTAGGCAGTTTATGGACGCTCATGGGGCACAGATGTTGGATGGCTTGAATCTGGAGTGTTTTTCAAGGCACACACTCTCTCTCTCTCTCTCTCTCCCTCTCGCTCTCTCTCTCTCTCTCTCTGTGTCTCGCTGTCTCACTCGCTCGCTCGCTCGCTCGCATCTCAGGTAGGCTGGTTGACTCGGTCTCCAAATCTTTTTCGGTGCACAGAGGGCGCGCAGGGCGCGCAGCGTCGGGAAGCGTCCGCCGAGCCACCGTGTTGAGGTGCAAAGGGAGTGCGTGACCGAGCTCGAGGGCATTCTAACGGCGGCATCTGTGCCTAGGATGCGAAGCATGAAGCCCCTCCCTAGTAGCGTCCGAACGCTCCGTTCGTAGCGAGGCCAAGGAGCCCCTCCCGTTCGTAGCGTCCGAGGAGCTCCGTTCGAAGTCAGGCCCGGGAGCTCCGTTCGTAGCGAAGTTTTCAGAAGCAGGTTGAGGATGATTGATCAAGTTATGGTGTACGTGTCCTTTGCCTTATGTATATGCCAATTTTCTGCCTTTTTGGCTGCTTTTTTAGATCAAAAGGCAGACATTTGTCTCAGTTGGAAGATCTAGTATGTATATCTGCAAAGGGGCTTCTTTGTCCTTTAGGATAGCTCTGGAGCTCGATCGCCAATTGGCATGCCTGGCTGCTTGGCATGCTCAGTCCCTCTGTCCGTGCCACTCCCAAGGCCCATCTCAGCGTGAACCGATCGGAGTCGTTGACCTGGCCTCAGCTCGAGCAGCACATGGCCTTGGTCGAGGAGCATGGCCTGCTGGCGCCAAACGCGACCACTCCGTAGGACCTCTGCAGGAAAACTCCCGATGAGGTGAGGGGTTGAGTCCCATGGGTTGGCAGTTGTTGCCTTGTTTCCTTTCTGGCGCCCGAAGGCGGAAAAACGGCGTGGCGAAGAACGAAGGCCTTCGCCGTGTGGCCCATCGAAGACTTCTCACGACTCCTCTCACTGCCACGCCGGCTCGAAGGTGGACAAACCCCCTTCGGTCGCTCATCGAAGGCGTCGGGCGGCAGGAGGTGCTCCGCCAGTGGTCCCGCGCCGCGCTCGCCCGGCAGTTGAGTGCCGCCAGCGTCCTGGCGCTGCTGCTGACGGAGGAGCGCAGCGTGGACTTCTGGCGAAGCTTTGGCTCCACCGGGGACGGACGAGTTCGGACGTCCTTCGTTCGGACCAGGGACGACCGAACCGCGCGGGTGAGTCAAGCATCTCACCTTCAAGCAAAACCTGTGAGTCAAGCTCCCAAATCCACCCAATCCATCAACGAAACAGAAGTAAGGCGAAGAAGAAATGGACATTCCCAGGTTCCGAATTCGTCCCCTTTGAGCAGCTGCAACTTGCGAGTTTTGGCCTGGCCTTACTGAAGGATTCGTAAGAAGCTGAGGATTGGTTGATGCCACCTTGCTCCCGGAGTATGTGGAGCTTTGCTTGCCTCAAGCTACCATGGAAACTGCCACTTGCACCAAGCAGCACATCTGAAGAAGCGATACGGTTTTGATACGGTTTCGATAGGGTGCCCATTTGCCCATCTGCCCATCCCTGATACATCTGCCCATTTGCCGCGGGTGTCTCTCTTTTCGACCTTTGGGGTGCGCAGTCCCGTGACTTCACTTCTTCTCGAGTCTTATCGTGTGTTCTGCAGTCCTTTTCCATTTCTAGAGTCATTTCCATTTTCTTTTCTATTTTTGGTCCACCTTTACCACTTTCCGAACACCCTGCCGTTCTCACAGGTTCTCACCCAATCGGGAGCCTCTCCCAATCAGGAAACCCATCGGAGCGCCTGCGCCTTCGCCCACTGTCGCCGCCACCTCGCGCCGCCGCGGCGGCCCTTCTCGGGCGCCGGGCACGGCGCGAACGCCTCGGCGCGCACGGCGGTCTTCCGTGTGGAGCCGCAGCGAAGTCTGCTGAGCGAGAACCTACGGAGCGGGTGCCGAGTGCCCTGGGCAGAGAGATGGCGGTTTTGCAAGAAGAACTCTTTGGTGTAGGGCCGTAAAGGAAAGAATTGGAGTGAACAATTGGTTTTGGTATGTGGCACGATACTCACTCCTCCGGTTCAGCCAGTTCAGAGTCAGTTCAGCCAGTTACCCTGGGCGATTGCTGGAGAGCTACCCGAATCATTGAACCCGAGGCAACCTTTGTTTTTTCCACAAGGCCCAACCTCGGCTCATGCACCAGGTGTGGAGGTCTGGCACCCCTTCGCCGGGTTTTCTTGTTTTAATCGATCGTTTTCTTGATTTTTTTCCCATGCCTTGGATGCCCCACACGCAAAAGGACCAGAAGGAGACCATCGTTTCAGAGGTCCAAAGCACGGTATATATATATATATACATAGCCTCTCTGGCCCAAAGCCTGGAGGTTGGTGGGTGTCGGGCGCCCCGTGGCCAAGTGCGTCACTCCACCTGACGGCTTGGTGTCGACAAGGGACACCCCCCAGGTGTCCCGCCCTGCGTGCGGGCTACTCGTTCCTTGGTTGGTAGCTAGATCTTGTGCCATGGACAGGTACCTTCATCTTGTTCGCAGCCCGTTTCAGGAGAAGCTCTCAGGTCTGCTGGAATCATTGTCACACAGGTCGAGGACACTGTGTTTCGATGGGCTGACCTTCGTAGCTGCTGAAGCTTGTTCTATCAAGGGCAATATCGTGACGGCAAAACTCGCCACCTTCGCTCCGGGTGTCGGTTTTCTGTTCGAGGATGATGGTTTGATGGTGCAGGTCCACATTCCTGAATTGGATGATCGGGCGATCAACATGTTTGCAGGTGCTCGATTCACATGCTTGGGGAAGCGACTCAGGACTGACGATTCCAAGGAGATTCATTTCGACAGTTCGGTAGCTGTGGGCATTCGGCCCGACCACTGTCAAGAGCTCAGCTGGAACATCGTTCACCAATTTGCCGGGGTATTTTCGGGTTGGCGACATGCCATCAAAGGGTTGCTGACTTGTGACATCCCCTTCAACCTTGCCCAGCAGATCGAGATCGACTCCGCAGATGAAGTAGCCAGTGTTTGGCAGAAGCTGCATGGCCCTAGAGTGAAGCAAGCACCGATTCCGACCAAGGCTCCATGGGATCCGAGTGACTGCATTCATGTGCACTGCCCAGTCAAGGAACCTTCGCTCCTGAACTTGTTTCAATTCCAAGCCAATGTCATCCACACGCTTAGCCCACCATGCCAGTCATGGTCGCGTGGTGGTAAAAGACTTGGACTCTCCGCAATGAACGGTTTTGCGTTCATCGAAGGGTTGCAGCTCGCGTTCGTCTCGCAAGCCCTGCTGATTGTGGGGGAATGCACAGACGAAATTTCGACGCATCAGCACTATGATATCATTTTGTTCCTGGCAGCTCAATTTGGCTACCGTAAGGTGTGGTCTCAGATCACCCCTTTGCATCGGATCTCCCCAATGTCAAGAACGCGTTGGTTGTGTGTTTGGTGCCGTTCTGACGTTCGTGCACTCCCTTTCGATTGCACCATCACTCCGTCAATCGCTCCACACACTGCTTGGCAGGACGATGCCTTCCGCTTTGCACTTCCGGCAACTTGGCAGAATCAGACGCTCTTGAGCGACTCAGAAAGGACCATCTATGGCAGTGTGGACCCAACAAGCGGCAGCAGTTTCGACACACCGCACCCACACAGGTGCAAGTCCTGCAGGCCCGAGTGCCCAAGGACACTGAACCCTTGCCCACTCTCTGTGCGGCGTACACTGAGCACTCGAGGCAAAAGGCATTCTTGCCTCCATTTGCATGCAACCACAAGGGTTCAGCTTTTTCGACCCAGCCCGCTTTGTTGCAATGCTGGGTGCTCTCGATGATGTCACTTTGCCAGAGAAGATTGGGGCCGCCTTTGTTTTCATTGGCAACGCCATTGCAGTTCCACATGCCATTTTGGCACTACTCGTCTCGCTGCAGGCTATCACAACCCAGCGGATTGACATTCTGCAGCACATCAGGCACTGTTGGCTCCAAAAGCACACAGCTCACAACACCGTGATCCTCCACGTGGGCGAATGGATTCACATCATTCACCATGACAATTGCTATCGGTACATTGGCCTCCATCGAACACCACCAGCAAATGGTGCCCACCATGTTGGCATTCAATTTGCCGACATGCACCTCCATCCACAAGGCCTCTTTGCACCAGACGCCACTGTCAGGTCAGTACTCAACCAGCTACTGACGGCACCCAGCCCCATCCTCCCCAGCATCCAGGCGCCAAAGTTTCTTGGCAGGGCACACCATCACTATTCAAGAGGCCATTCAACACTCCCGCACATGGGATTTGATGATTGGGGCCACATACCTTGGACATCTCCACATCCAGGACGCCACTTGTGACCACAACCACGGCTCGGGTGAGTCCCAAATGATCTCTCCAACGATTCCCTTTTGTGCAGACGGTGGGGAGCAAGTGCTGAATTTGCTTCCCCTTTTCCAGCGGGAACAAAGCAGTGGAACTCGGCACCCATGCAACTTTACGGTCTTGGAACCAGCCATTGGACTTTCCTTCGCGTGCTGGATCCCATCCGACTCCCATGATGGCCTTGTGCACTCTATTCGTACTACGTCAAAACAAGTCATCAGCTACTACAAGCAACTCATCATCGGCAGCATGCACTCGGTTGTTGTCTTGTGGCCGGGCACTCATGATGGCCGCATTTGCTTCATCCTACAGCCACCAGACAACATCATCTGGAGTGCTGTCACTCCGCCGCTGCGCCAGGATCACATCACCTTTGAACTGAACCAGCAGCAGCACCACATCCAGGCGACCAACACACTACCAGTTGATCAGAGGTCTGGACCCTTGCACTCTGGCGATGTGCTTCAACTTGCCACCACAGACACCATTCGAGCGGGCGGCCACCACGGAGGACCTCTGCTGGTCCTCCCAGCTGACGCCTCCTTTACTCAGAGAGCAGAGTTCGCAACCAATACCCACGGGTGGCTAGCAGCAGATGAGATGCACTTCATCGGGCAGATTCTGCACTGGACAGTGCCCAATGGGCCCAAGCATTCCGCACCAGCGTATTGGGATACGGAGAAATCCGAGTTCGAGGAAAGTCCGTTTGGTGCTCCTACCATCTGGCTCAATGCCCATACTATCCTGCCTGTGCTGATCGACAACCACTGGTGCTCTTTGGAGATTCACAGAGCCGACTCTGCGGTAGCTGTGACCACCTTCCAAGTCCCGGCACACCTCCATTGCCGAATCATCCTCATCTTGGCGAGGCTGCTTGACTATGGACCGCACCGCATGCTCATAGCACACAGCAGAGATCAACGCACACCGCACTTGTGTGGGTGGCACCTAGTTCACAGGTGGGTGCAAGACCAAGCCCTCCTTGAGACACTGGCCACAGCTGAGGAGAGACCCATCCCTGCTGGAGAACTCCATGACCAAGTCGCCCTAGTACTTCAGGCCTCGATTGAAGATTGGATTGAGGCGGGAGCCGAGCAGCCAGTTTGGAACCTTGCCGCCAGACTTCGCAGGCACTTCTTCACGGTGTTGGCCAACAAAGTCCTCCAGACTGGGGTCACCAATCAGCGGCCTCTGGCCATCAGCTTTCCACCCCAGCGACCACCGCCGGCACGCAGTCCTGGCCAACTAACACCATTGCAGCGACATTGCCACCAGGTCCAGGACAGAATAGTGGAACGGTTGAGACCCATCCAGAGTGGGCGCGCTCTGACGAGATTGAGTTTGCGCTGGAGGGCCCACGATCAATCCAGCCGGAGACTCTCTTCTGCCCACCCGCCATCTGGGACGACACCATGGAGAGCCTGTTCTACTTGAATTCCTTACAACCACAGCTGCAAGCATACCAGCACATTGTGTGGATCGTTGCCGACCGCAATCATTGGATCCAAGCAGAGGCCTATCGATCGCAGGGGCAAGTCCTTTTCTACTTGACGTCACCTTCACGACTTCTTCCGTTGATCCAAGTTCTACGGAGTGCCCTGGGGGTGAATGGACAACACTTTGCCCTCCATTGTGCTGATCAGCCACCTGCGCCCGGCATGTGTGGATTCCAGATTGTCGCAAGCCTGTACGGCCGACTCGGTGTGTCCATGCCACCACTGTCGCCCTCACAAGAACGGGAGCTCCATCCATCGCCATACAGACCCACCCTTCGAACCATATGGGATACAACCAACCAGAACTGGGCCCAGACCCCAGTCATCCCAGGCCTGATCCAGTTTGCGCAAACCTTGCGACTTCTAAGGCTTAGCCGCAACCAATTCCCAGCGCAATATGCAGCAGCGGGCATGGCCCAAACCAGCAGCCGCTTCACAGGCTGCCCAACTGGGACCGGCCGCAGCAACCGACCCGGTCTGGACCAATGACTTGTGTGGAAAAAGGCTGCGCACAAGATGTCTCAAGCCCGCTGGGAGGACCTCCAGTTGCTCGCTCCCATCCCGTTCCAGGGATCTGATACCCGACCAATGTACCAGACTCACAGACTACAGGTCACGCAAGCACGAGCTGGTATTGTGCTCACTACCAAGCAGCACATTTCAGAGCTGGACAAAGTGACTGATCAATTGGAGTTTGCATTGCTGATCCCTACTGTTGATGGCACTCGGCCTGCCAACCTGTTCCAGCCATGCGAGGGGCCTTTTGAGATCACTGTTGAAGATGCCTCATCCAAGGCCATCTACAAGCGACTTGCATTGATGATAGTCCGCAAGGGCAAGATCTCATATAAGCTGCCTGAACCCAAACTGAAACTGCGCACAGCGGCTGTGGCGGAGCTAGTACTGGAGATCAACTCCAGAATCCAAGCCAAGGAGCGGCCACAGCAAGCCTTCCGCCAGTTCATCTGTGACATCAGGCCAGACCTCGAGACCACGGCAACCTTCTATGGCATCCGTGTCACCAGACACCCAGCGGCAGCCAAAACAGATCAGCGACTCCAGTGTATGCTGAAGATCCC